CACCTCTGGCCGCAGTCTCTCTGGGATTGCAGAGAGCCTGTCTCTCTTCTCGCTGACCCTCCACTCCCGGCCCCCACTCTGCAGGGCCCTGGGCAAGGCTTGTCAGGCACTGTGGACCTTCCTCACCTGATGCAGTTCTTTGGGTCCTCATCACAGTCAGTGTTGCAGCGGAAGCGTTCCCAGGCCAGCCAGCCCATGGGTGGCGTCCGCAGGAGCCCATTCTCCAGCACCAGCACCTGGTCCACCAGGGCCAGCAAGAGCACTGTAGGGGGTTGGGGGATGACTGTGAGCGGCTCCCATAGCCCCGGCCCTCACCCCCCACTCTCCACCCCCTCCACATGCGGTTCAGCTCTGCACAGGCTGCCAGCCTGCACATTAGAAGAACGATACTCCTGAGCTTATGGCGGAATTGGCTCTTCCAGCAACTGCTGGCTCCTGCAGTGCAGCAAGTGGGTGGTAGATGGTGCCTAGAGTAGGTCAATGTGTTTGAGGCCTGGGTCCCCACTTGCCGTGAGGTCATATCCTTTCTACAGCCTCACCAGCTACCGCCACCCCATTACACAGAACTTGACAGTACACTGTAGCCACACTCCAGGTCTCCTGAGTCTCATCCAGGATCTTTGCTCTCCACCACAGACCCTCAAGAGGCCTCAGAAGGGCTAACGAGGTCAGCCAGGTGGGACCTGCACCCAGCCAGCTCACCTGGATGAGCCCTTTACCTCTCAGGCCTCAGTTTCCTTATCTGCAAGATGGAGTTAATGTACTGACTACAGGGCAGTTCTCAGTACGTGTTGATATCACGTAAGATAGGGCCTCTGCCCTTTGGGAGAGAAGGGATAAAAAAGGAATAGACCTCTTTAGAGGGGAACTGATTCCTAGGTGGAGAGCATTTCCTTCTCCTTTCCCAGCCCAGCGCCACTGAGAGGAACACGTCTCCCCACACGCCCACATCAGGGGAAGGAGGCCCAGACACCAGAGGGCTGGACTCCCTCCAGGTAGCCCCCACACCCTACTGGTCACCTACCCTCCCGAAGGCACCCCCTCCCATGTAGGTTACCTGTCTTCCGCAACATTGCTCTGGACTCAGCGTCTCAGGACCTGACCAGATCTGCTCTGCTTTTACCAACTTTATATGTTGGGCTTGGGAAGCTAAGAAACGTTAGAAAGGCACTTGAGTTACTACTGCCTGGCTGGCGGTGGAGCCTTCAACCCTGAGCGTGGATCCCAAACTCAGTCCCCAAGCCGCGCTCATTACCCCTCCCCCAGCCATCAAGTCCCTTCAGCCTTCAGAAATACTAAACAAGGTGTCTTGGACATCAGACCTCACTCTCTCTGCAGTGCTGGGCGCCCCTAGAGTCCAAGGGCGGCCCTCCTCCGGCCCGGGGCCGCAGAGAGGCAGCGACCAGCTTGAAGACGCCAGGAAGAGGGGAGGCGACAGGCCAAGACCAGGTTCCGGACTCCCATCGGGTCTGGGTTGCCGCCCCCGGCCGCCAAGGACGGAAGGCTCAGCGCGGGGAGCCTCCCACCCCAGAGTACCCGTCCCGCGGAATTTACCTGCCGACGCACTAAGACCCGCGGCAGCTCCTACCACCAGAGCCGCCGACAGCGTCTGTGATCTGATTCGCCTATCGCGTTCCAGAGGGGCTTGACGGCGGGCAACCTTTTCCTGCGGAGCCTATCAGAATCCTCCGAGAAACCTGCCCCGCCCTCTATGGATCCAATACGCCCTCCGAACCTCCAAAACCCCGCCTCCTTTGAGCTCCTGCGCGCTCCGGAGGCGGGCACGAGCGGAACGGGCTTAGGGACCTGATGTGCCCGCTCACCCGAGGCTAGACTTTTCACCCCTGTGGGATCCCCGAGGGCGAGGTTAGTGCCTGGCACACTGTAGACGCGCAATAAATAGCTGTGTTGTGAATACCTCTGCTAAGGGCCTTGTTAAGAGGAAATAAGAAAATGCTCTGAAGCATGGGCCGTATAGTAAGCCTCTCAAAACAGGTAGCGGAAGATGAATAGGCTTGCAAGGAGGATGGATGGGGGAAGCAAACCAGGTGGAGGGTACAGCTCTTGTAAAGCCAGGAGGCTCTCCTTTCCTGCCTGAAACTATAAGCCACCATTATGCTAGCCCAGGCACTCTGCATATTCCCAATTTCATTCTTCAGAAATTTATTGAGCAATTACTAAGTGCCAAACACTTCATTTTTGGCACCTTCACTTGGATGGCCACTGGACACCTGAAACATAATGAGCCCCAAACTGAACACCAGCCCCTTCCATATAATGGCAACTGTCCTTTCAGGTGCTCAAGCAAAACCTTGAAATCCTTGCATCTTGTTTCCTGCACTCCCCACATTCAGCCTCTCGGCAAACCCTGCGAGCTCTACTTTCAGAACCCATCCTGAAGCTGGCCAACTCGCTACTCTCCCAGCTCCCATCACATCTTAACTGGATTTGTTTAGCAGCCTACATTTCACCCACATTTGTTCTCTCCACAGCAGCCCAAGTAATCCTTTAAAACATAGCTCAGGTCGCTCCTCGCTCAAGACCCTGTGAGGTCTGTTCATCTCAATCTGGAGTTAACAGCCCTCACAGATTTCTGAAGCCCCACCCCACACATTCTGACCCCATCTTCTGCTCTCCTCACCCCACCCCCACCTCACCGCTGCTGGGCCACACTGACCTCCTTGCAGTTCCTCAAGCACAATAGGCCTTAGGGCCACTGAGTTGTCCCTCTGCCTGGACTGCTGTCCCTCCAGATATTAGCATGAATGGCTCCATCATTTCATTCAAGTTATTTCTCAAATGTCACCTTCTCAGTGAAGTGTATCCTGATGGTTCTATTTAAAATTGCAACCCCCATTCTCCTACAATTCCCAGTCTCCTTTACCCTGCTCTGTATTTTCCACACCGTGTACTACCTTCTAACACACTTATTATGGTTTATATTATTAATTGAATACAATTTAGTGAGGAAGAGAGATAATGCACAGGAAGTAAAAGCATGCACAGAGGGAAGTTTTCTATAGCGGTTAGTGCTCTAATGAAAATACAACCCAGGGATGTGATAGACTTGAAGGGAGGTGAAGGGTAGGCCTCCCCAACATGTGCTACTTTGGCATGTAGATTATTGTGATCCTGTGGGCTCAAGAGAAACTCCTGTACCCGCCATAACTACCTAGAAGAATTTAAATTAGGGGCCTTGCCCGTAATAAGTGTTATTACCAGAGATAATGTTTTATGGCCTATCTATGGCAGGGCAAATATCTAACTACTGAACAATCTGTTCTTCTTCTTGATCTGCAAATTCCTATCAATCTGAAGCCCCACACCTCTTACCACAGTCCTTAGCTCACGATGTTATGTATACCCATGTTCCCTTTCTGTCTCTGAACCTCTCATGTATATGGGGGTCTCTGGCTCTCTTCTGTATGTGGGGTTCCTGTACCTACGAATGGAATTAAATTTGGTTATTTTCTCTTGTTGGTCTGTCTCACGTTGGTTTAACTATTAGACCAGTGGAAAGAACAGAAGGGTAGAGGAAAGTTTCTTCGTCCCCCACACAGCCTACTTTACATGCATGGTCAGGCAGGGGACATCTGAGCTGAGACCTAATCGATGTGAAGGCGCCCTGGAGAGTTAGAGCTGAGGGTTAGGGGTGAGAAGGAAGAGCGGTTCTCGGTTGCAGGAACTGCAAGGGGGAAAGCTCTGAGTGGGAACCAACACGTTCACAGAGAGATGTTCTGAGCTGGCCGGCTTCCAGGGCCACAGGGAAACCCCAGCCTCCTGCTTTGGTTTGTGCTTTCCTGCAGCCTTCACCACAGGCTTAGTTTTGTTTTTGTTCTAGGAGGCAGCAAAAGTGATACTCGGATCGATTCTGTTTTTGCCAACGATTTAGCACAGGTTCATTGGGGGAATTGTAATTTCACAGGCCAATAGCATACAGGATAATATCTCTTAGTAAACCCCCCAAAAATAACATATTCCAAACAAATAACAGATTAATCACACTATTTATTGTTCCAGGCAAGAGGAGGTGAAGGAATAATGTCCATACTTAATATGAAGTCGCTCAGGAGACTCAGCGACCAACCAAAGAGCTAATTTCCAGCTATGGACACGAAGGTAAAAGTCCCCTGTTGCTAGAGCACTGCTGCTAGGGAACCGAGATGCTATCACTTCTGAGATAACCTCCAAGGTTTAACACCTCAATGGACCAGAGCTGCCCTGGCCACAGGTAGGAGCAAATGTCTCAAGGGGGAGTGTTTAGGTTATAAAAGAGTCGCCATGCCCAAACCGAAAATCTCAAATAGTCCCTTACTCTTGGTATTTATAGTTTAAAAGTCCCCTTACCATAGTTGCTTCTCCACAGGTTCTTATTAATAAACCCCCAGCAGGACCCATCAGCAGCTGGGCTGCTGACTGCTTATCAACGGACAGATGCAGAATGATGACATCCTGGTTCGACTTACTTAATACTTACATCAAAACAAGTGGGTTAAAACAACTTCACTTAAGTCATAAACAAGTGGATTTGAAATCATATTAGACCAACACACAACACAGGCCTACCCGCGGACAGAGCCTAGGCAGAGCCTGGGAGCAGCAAAAGCGGAAACGGATAACCCCAGAAGTAGAGATCTGGCCGCTCTGGGGGCCCAGTTGAGTGGCCAGGAAGCTCGGCCGGGCCTTGCGGGCTGAGTAGGAGCCCGCCCAGAGGAGGCGCCCGGGCGAGGTCTAAAAAGGCTTGGCTCTGCGGCAGAAGTGGGCGGGGCAGGGAAAGGGGGACTGAAGGGGGAAAGAGGACTCCGAGTTCTCCCGGCAGGGAGGTGGGGGGTGGCTCCGTCCCAGGCCTGCCGAACAGTTGAGGTGGGGCCTTGGGTTCGAGGCCGCCCGCCCCTGACCAGCTCTGTGGCTCAGGCAGGTCCCGGCCTCTCCGGCCTCAGTTTCCCTCCAGCGTGAATCACGGGGCTTCTTCGTGGATCTAGGCCTGGTGAGTCCTGGACAGGGAGGCGTGGGGTCTCCCCGCTCCCTCAGCAGGGTCGGGAGGCGAGATCGCCCGGGGGAGCGGCCGCAGCCCAGCCCGCCGGACACCCTCCTGGGCTTCGGCGCGCTAGGCTGCGCGGAGGTGAGACGGGGCCCGGCGGGCTCCGGGAGGAGGCGGCCCCCAGGAAGGCGTGGCTCGCGGGGACGTGGCAGGACAGCCCCTTTGCGCAGACGGGGAAACCGAGAGAGCAGCCGCGGGCGAGTTCTCGATGTGGAGACTTCTGTTTCAGGGCCCACCTCTGTGGCCACTGGCCAGTGGGTCCCGCGCCCACTCCTCCTCCAACAAAAGAATCCGGAAAAGTGCGGTGCGCATCGGCCTCCCGCCGAGTGTGCCTCTGGACCTCGCATCCTTGGGAGGGGTTGTGGGCAGCACCCTTCCCCATGCACACGGTGGGGGAGGGGGCACAGATCCGCGGGCTCCCGAGTCCCGCCCTGCGCCCCAGTGCGGGAGGACAGAGGTGAAGCCACTCCTCCAGCAAAAACGTGTGATCTCCCCATCCGCGGACCACCGGTCTAAGCCGGCTCCTCCCCGTCCCAGGTCCCCGCTTGTTTCTCTCACAGATAACCCTTATCGACAGGTGCTTCCGTTATTATTTAATGAACTTTAAATCCATTTATTGTTTTTATTTTTGTCTGTTTGCATTGTGTTTCCCCTGCAAGAATGTAGGCTCCAGGAGGGAGGAACTTTGTTTTGTCCACTGTTGTAATCCCAGTTACTTCAACAAACACTTCTGAGGGCCTCCCCGAGCCCTGCAGGGGGCTGGATATTGGGGATACACAGGGAGCCAAGCCAAGTCTGGCTCTAGACATTCTGGGGCGGGAGACAGCGCTGTAAACACAAAGGAGATCATTGTGGGATGAAGGAAATGAAAACAAGTGATGGGACAGCTGGTTGGGTCATCTTGGATCAAGCCACCTTGGTGATCAGGAGCCCCTTCATACAGTGATCAGGGCAGGCCTCTCAGATTAGGTGATTTAAATTAAAGCCCACAGATAAACTGTGTGACGGTGCTAGAAGGGAAAACCTGGAAGCTATGCGGGCACTTGACTGCGACCTTGCCTGGGGGGGGGGGCAAGGAGCTGAGGTCTGAATAATGAAGGTCAAGACAATAGGACCCAGCCCCTTAAATTGCTCCTAGGAGCCTCGCGTGGGTGGGTGGGTAGGGAATTTTCAGCCAGGAAGGCTGCCTGGAGAGGTGGTGGTTTCTCTGGGCCCCAAAGGCTAAGAGTTCTCATTCTTTAGGATGAGTTGACTGTGTTTGAGAATTATTTTGCAGGTGCACTGGGGTCACGTGGTCCAAGTGTTTGAGCCCTGCGGCCAGACAAGAGAGGCTCCTGGCCCCACCTAGCAAGCTCTGCTGGTAAGTGGGTCGTTGCCAAGACTTGTCCCCAGAAGGTGAGGGAATCAGGAGAACAAGTTCTGCTTCTCACTGGCCATGTGACCTTGCGCAGTTCACCTTCACCACTCTGGGCCTTGATTTTCCATGAGTCAGGAGGGTCGTGGGAACCTTGGAGGTTTGACCTCAGCTTTGACGCTAAGGAGCCCCCAGGTTAGGGGATAGTTTAAGCACAATGGATTCTATGGGCTTGGGGGCCTGAAATGCTCAGCTGGCCCATTTCTTTGGATTTTAAAAAGCCGTATCAAAGCCCTGCCATACCTCCTGGCCTGATACAATCACATTACCCTTCCCTCTGAGTCCTCTGATGTCCAGTGTTTTGCATGACCCTTACAACCCTTTGAAAGAAAAGGCAAGGGAGACTAGCTCATTTCATAGATGAAGGCACTGAGAGCCTCAAGGCACACAGCAAAGGAGTAGAGGCCACAGGGCTGGAGCCCATGTCTCCTCCAGAGCCAATACCTTTTCCTCCACAGGGACACGGAGGCTACCTCCCTCTCTGATTCGCGGCCACCTCTCTTGCCTCATAATTCTTACAGGAGCCATGAAGCTGAACGAGAGAAGTGTGGCCCACTATGCACTGAGCAACTCCCCAGCAGACCACATGGGCTTCCTGCGCACTTGGGGGGGGGCAGGGACTCCACCCACCCCCAGTGGCACTGGCCGAAGATGCTGGTTTGTTCTCAAGGGCAACCTGCTGTTCTCCTTTGAGAGTCGAGAGGGCCGGGCCCCGCTGGGCCTGGTGGTGCTGGAGGGCTGCACGGTGGAGTTGGCCGAGGCGCCCATGTCTGAAGAATTTGCCTTCGCCATCCGCTTCAACGCCCCTGGTGTGCGCCCACACCTGCTCGCAGCTGATGGGTCAGCAGCCCAGGAGGCCTGGGTGAAGGCGCTGTCCCGGGCAAGTTTTGGCTACATGCGCTTGGTGGTGCGGGAGCTGGAGAGCCAGTTGCGTGATGCTCGCCAGAGCCTGGCCTTGCATCGCCACTCATCCTGGAAGGCCATTACCAGCCGCTGTAAGCTCCAGGCTCCTGACTGCTTGCCTCGGGGTCTGGAGAACGGCTACTCCCTCTCCAGAGATTGCAGCCCCATAGGCTTGGTGGAAGAAGGGGGCAGCAGGCCAGCAGGGTCGGGCCTGGCTGAGTGTGAGCTTCAGGGCCCTGCCAACTTCCTCCTAGGCAGTGGGCAGAGCCCCGTGTCCCCTGAGACCTCTTGCTTCTCTACCCTGCATGACTGGTACGGCAAGGAGATCTTAGAGCTAAGGCAGGGGTGGCTGCAGAGGGCTCAGGGGAGCCAGCCAAAATGTGAGGGACAGGATAGGCCCTGAGTCTGGGCCCTTAAAGGTTCTGCCCTTGTCCTGCTGGTCAGGACGCCAGGGCCAATTCTTTTTCAGGAGTTTGATGTTTGTTTTCAAAGTTGCTTTTTTTTTTTTTTTTTTTTGAGGGAGGCAGTTCTCTCCTTCTTGCTTTTTAGGCCTTCTCCAGGTTCTAGATCCACCTTTGTGCCTGGAGGGACCTAAGGACTCATAACTTCCAACCCCTTTACTTCCTGAGGCCCAGAGAGGAAAGATGGCTTGCTCATCAGTCAGAGTGAGGCCCCAGTTTCCTGACACAGTGCTGGACACTGTCCCTCACTCAGGGGATATTAATGAAATGGAAGAAGTGGGGAGTATTACGTGGTCACAGGGCCACCCTGCCTTTCACCTACACACCACACTTAGCCAGTTTCCAACATGGGGAGTCTTGTGTGCATTTAGATAACAGAAGTTGGCTTCCGGGACTGACATTATCGGAGAAGGTGGATTTATTATATCATGCGGNAGGCAGTTCTCTCCTTCTTGCTTTTTAGGCCTTCTCCAGGTTCTAGATCCACCTTTGTGCCTGGAGGGACCTAAGGACTCATAACTTCCAACCCCTTTACTTCCTGAGGCCCAGAGAGGAAAGATGGCTTGCTCATCAGTCAGAGTGAGGCCCCAGTTTCCTGACACAGTGCTGGACACTGTCCCTCACTCAGGGGATATTAATGAAATGGAAGAAGTGGGGAATATTACGTGGTCACAGGGCCACCCTGCCTTTCACCTACACACCACACTTAGCCAGTTTCCAACATGGGGAGTCTTGTGTGCATTTAGATAACAGAAGTTGGCTTCCGGGACTGACATTATCGGAGAAGGTGGATTTATTATATCATGCGGTTTTCTGGGGCTCAGCTCTCCCTGAGTGGTAGGGAGACTGGGCGTGGAATCTCTACCCTACAGTCTGGGAAGGGCCCTTTGGAAGGAGAGTGCCTTTGGCCAGTACAGAAGGATTTATTCTGCTCAGAAAGTGTTGGGGTCCCCATCCTTTCCCTCTTCCTGGCTGTCCTGTCAACAGATAGTGCTGGATGTTGACCCACGACCGACTGATAGCTTTTATGTCAGCAGAAATCCTTCCTGCACTCGGTCCGCAGCAGTCGGCTCCTGGATCTGCCAAGTGGGAAGCTACAATAAATAAAAGGTGGGCAGGCAGTGTGGCTCTCCAGGGAAAGCCCGTTTGTTGTGTTGGTTCTCGGTCCTGGACATTCTAGGAGCTTGGGGACAGTGATACATTCTTCTCACCCCTGGGCTTTCTGCTCTTGAATCCACTTGGGAACTCGTTTAAGGTCCTGCTTGTCACCCAGTGTGTACCAGCCAAGACCCTCTCATTGCTACTCTCACCAGCAGGCCAGGTGTTTTCTTTCTTAATTGTTCTGGGAGGCGAAGTGGCTGGCTCCAGACTAGCTTGATGCCCTAGGAGCACGGTGGCGGTGGGTGGATGAACCCCCC